CTAGGCGGGGTACCCGCGGGCGCAGTATCAGGGAATCCGACGTACAGCTGTGGAATAGCGTAACCGTCCACGCTGCCAGTGTTGCTCACCTGTGCAGTGAGGGTGTACACGGTATCCCAGAGAGCGGGGTTACCACCAGGTTGAACAGCACGTTGCTCCGGAAGGGCAGTCAAGTTCGAAGCCACGGGCTTGGCAGCGACCAGCTTGGTCAAGTTGTAGGTAGTGTAACTGAGACCGAAGCCGAACTCGTAACGGACGGGGATGTTGTGGGCGTCAAAGTAGCGGTATCCGACTTCGAGCTCCTCGTCGAACCAGCTCTGCCAGTCGTAGGTACCGTTGGTAGCGACAGCGGTGGTGAGCGGAGCGTTGTAGTCCGATTCGTTGTAGGCGATCACATAGGGCAGCTTGGCGGAGGGGTTGGCGTCGCCGAAGAGGAGGTCGGCGATGGCGTTACCGGCTTCCTCACCGGGGTAGTGGGCGGCCAGGATGGCGGTGACGTTGGGGTGGTCGGCAAAGGGGAGGACATTGACACCGGCGGAGTGGGTGACCACGACGGTGTTGTTGCAGTACTTGGCGACGGCTTCGACGACGGCATTGCCGTTCCAGTCGAGGGTCAGGTAGGTGCGGTCGATGTTCTCCTCGGACCAGGACTTGAGGAAGACAAGGCACACGTCGGGCTGCTCGGGGTTCCAGAGTTCGGGCATGGACTTCTCCGTGATGAGGGTGTTGTTGAGCCAGGTCTGCACCCGGCCGCCGTACTGGCGGGCACGCGTGGTGATGGCGTCCTGAGGAGTGGAGAGGTAGCTGAAGCGGCAGGTACCGGAGCCACCGGCGTTAGCGAGCACGCCGTATTCGAAGTCGGTCTGGGTGGAGGGACCCTGGGTGTCGGAGCCGGCGTCGTTGCCGACAATGACGATGTTACGGGGCTTGCGCAAGGGCAAGGCGTTGCGCTCGTTCTTCAGCAGAACAGTGGAGGCAGCGCCGTGTTCGCGGATCATGGCGCTGTTGTTGCCGCGGACGTCGCGGTTGGTGGGACCTGTGAACTTCCAGTCGTAGAGCCAGGTGTCGGGGGGAGAGTCGACGTTCAGGGGACCGACGGAGGCGTCGACACTGGGGTAGTTCTTGTCCTGACCGAGCCAGAAGTAGGGAGTCATGATGCGCACGATCATGTCGTCGATCCGGTCGGTGGCGATGGTGCCGTTGTTGATGGCCTCGGTGAGATTCTTGCCGAAATATGATCCCTCAGTCCACAGCTCGCCGTAGACGGTGAAGCCACCGGGCATGGTCATGTCCATGCCGCTCTCGGCGGAGGCGACACCGCTGTGGGTGGCACCCCAATCGGACATGACATAGCCTTGGAAGCCCAGCTCAGTCTTCAGGAGATGGTTGAGGAGGTATGAGTTCTGGCACGAGTGGGAGCCGTTGACACGGTTGTAGGAGCACATGAAACTGGCAACGCGGGCACGGGCGGCGTTGGCGAAGGGCCACATGTAGATCTCGTGAAGGGTGCGGTCATCGAGGTTGGAGGAGACAGAGTCCTGTATGTAGGTTGTGGCGTTGGCGTCCGGGGCGTAGGTAGGGTTACGCTGTGTCTCTTGCTCGTTGGCAATGAAGTGCTTTGCGTTGGCTTGCACGCCAGCGTCTTGGATACCAAGAATGGTCTCCTCCATGCAGACACCAGTCAGGTAGGGATCGGCCGCGAAGCCTTCCCAGGTACGTCCGTCATAAGGACTACGACCGAGGGGACCACCGATGGGACCGAGGACGACGTGGGTGCCTTTGCCCTTGTGCTCTGTAGCCATAGCATAGCCACGGTCGTATAGCAGCTTACGATCCCAACTAGCAGCGGCGGATACACCGCTGACGAAAACACTGGAGTAGTCACCTTGCTGAATACACTGGGGACCATTCTGCAGACAGAGACCAGTGAAGTTGAGGCGAGGGATGGGGAGAATGTTTCCCACGCAGGGACCCGGCTGACCGGTGGCCATCCAGGCTTTCTCCTCGACTGTGAGCTGTGATACCCAGTTCTTGGCCTGAACCAGGGCATTTTCCCAACCACCCTTGCCCTTAGTTTCGGCTATGACGGAGTAAGCGATACGTTCATGGCTCCTCATGAGAACATGATGGACTTACGAGAAGGGAATACCGGTGGGGAGCTGCCATAGGGAGTAAGGATAGAGGTATTGAGAGGCTGGACGTAGCTGTTTGGCTCGCCTACATGGTTGATAGGTTCCTGGCAAGTGCTGGCACCCACGGAGGGAGCCAGCAGCAGGCCAGATAGAAGCAGGGCGTGGTCGGCCGGGACCTTCATGGCGTTGTATGAGCCGGACTTGTCAAGTTGCTGGCTGTGAGCACCTATCCTTCATCTTCTACCGCCGACAATTGCACCCTTATATACCTAGATACATACACACCCTGGCTGGTCGCGGTGCATTCCCGGGTTTTGCTGGAGTGGAGAATGCGGAGGCCCGCAATACCGGGTTGGATGAGGGCTAAAAAGCCGGGGTCGGCCTCGTGCCGAGCTGGGACTCCACAACCGAGAAGCGATGCCAATCGCGAGGGTTTTCCCGGCCCGTTTCTGCCCAGTCGGGGGATGATGACTTCGTTTGCTTTACTCCATCGGTCACCTTTGGCGTCAGCCGAAGTTTTGCCGGTGGAGGGAACGAAAATAACGCTCGGGCAGTTAATGGTGCCACTCGTGGTGATGAGGATCCTCTCATTCTCTACCCCGTGGGATCTAGTAGCCCCAGTTATCGGAGGAACCCCGTGGGTAATGACGTAGGGTGAATGCATTCTGTCGGCCGGGAATGAGGATGGCCGACGAGTCGGGTAGCCTGGCATGACTCTCCAACACAGTTATGTCTCTCGCTCTCACCGGCTTGTCTTTGGATGCCAATGCGGTCCGACCCCGCTAGGGCTTGGCAGGCACCCCCACGATGAGCCCGGCAAATACCCGTCTGCTGTTCCGAAGAATCCGAAAGGGATCATGGTGAGAAGGTTCCCGTGCGAATGGAAGAATCTACGTGAGGAATGCAAAGGAGTTAGATGAGCAGTGTGTAGTAAAACCGTCTAACGAGCGGCACAACTGGTGCTGTCAACCCCAGATTTTACATCCCCAAAGTCACGTGGGAATATGCATGATGCACGAGATTTAATTTGGGGGAAAAGTTGGGGGTGAAGATGAGGGGAAAGAAAACCCTGGCCCAAGTCACCAACGGACTATGCGTCATGATTCTACAGTATTAGTAATTTTCTACTGAAGACTGCAGACAAATCTCTCTAGTAGTTAGTAGTGAGCTAGAAATGCAAGGAAAAGTCGTCGGAATGCAGTCCGGAGTTGGGCTTGATGCCCGATCAGGAAGGCAGAATGGCAAAGGCCCGAGGTTTCCCCGGTGACTCTTCGGCATTAAGCAGAAACAGCCCTGTGATCAGACATGCCGGGAGTCGGGAATCCTGGGAGAACATACCAAGAAGGTATGCCGAATGCTTGTGCTTGGGCTTTCACTATGGGGCCGACGGAGGGAAAGAGGCTTGGCGATTGGGTCTCCGGCATCTTAATATGGGCTTGGTAATCATTAACCTACAAGATTCTCCAGTCAAGATGGCCTTACTATTGGCTTCCTCACGCATCCACCTCCCACCTCTTACTTCCCAGCAACCCGCAAAGGCGTGATCAATGGAGTCGAATGGAGGATTTTGTGGGGGCGGCGCTAACGAATAGATGGGAAGTTGGGAACAAACAATAGCCGGACAGGCAAATATCCGCTGTTCCCTGGCCTCGTCGAAATAGAATAACTGGGCGACCGGTTGTACGAGAACCCAATTCCGGCGCTTGCATGAGAGATTCCTTCGTTCGGATCACCAGCGAGAGCCGGGCCGGATACAATTACAATGCGCCTTCCTTGGCTGAGGACAAAGTCAGTGGAACCATCTGTAAGCTGTCTTGGGTCAGGGAGCCAGGACCACATCTTGGATCATCTAGCTTCCATCTTCGACTCAATTTACTGGCGTTCTGGATTTGCTTTTTTGGTACGTTTACATAGCATATTTGACCCTTGGTCGGTAGCGCAGTGATGCGTCGATATACGGATTTAAGGCTGTCATTAATTTTAACGCGCCTGCCGCAAACAGCAGCGATCTATTCACGACACGCATGGTTTGCCAACTGCCTACAATCATGCTTTGTTTTTCTATATGATGTGCCCTAATTCTTCGGGTCAGAAACTGGAGCTTCCGACCGTAGGATGGCGATGAAAAGCGATTCAGGCGATGGGCTCTTTTGAATATTGGTATGAACAGACCACTGCAGGAAGCCGATACAATAATGGATCTTCCGCCTACCCTATACCACAGCTTTCTATCTCACCGTAGCTTATGCAGCGTCAGCTTTTCATCCCGAGCAGTCTGTCTTGTGATCCTTTTGCTAGAGTGAGGTACCTGTAGCAAGACTCATGCAGGAGGCATCATCTATGCAAGTAACTTCCTCAATGCATCCACTAAAGGGGCGAGTACATTCCAAGAACAGAGTATCTCTAGTTGGGTTCCCACACTGCTGAATGCGTCGAAAGTCAATGGAGGAGATAAGAGAGACACTGCCTGTCATTTCCGCGATCTTCCAGTCAATTGGCATTGTCACAACTTACCGGGCGACATCCGCCCATGGGTCGTCAAACTCTACCACCGCCATCCTGGTCATAAACACCCAGCAGAGTTCATGAGGTATCAATGACCTCACGTCTGCACGCAAAGAGCCAGTCAATGCCCAACCGAAGCGATTATCAAGGAAGCCAGGTAATACCGGACCAAGTCTAGGACGTGTTCTCGACGTCGAAGGCCCAAAGCAATGAAATATAAGAGCAAAGAGCTATCCAGACAGCCGAAAAACCCAAATATTAACACATCTTCTTGATCACCTATTAGTATCCCTTGCGCCAAGATGACTAAAGGTCTGGTGAGTAGGATGGTCTTTGCTGTGACACGGATTCATGCTAATAAGAATGGGGCACTGCGAGACCTTCGATATCCGCTACGACAACGAGCTCGCCCATCAATACTACGGGGAAGGGGACCAGCTCACTCAAAAGTAAGATGAAGGTTTCAGTGGTCCAATTCGCCTGCCAAAGAAGGGCTAACTATGGTCTTATAGGCTCCAAGACGTCTATAAAGACAAAAACCTGGAGTTTCCCCATTATTTCGATTCCACACTGACCACCCCACCGATTCACTTCATGACGTGCGTCACATCACTTGTGTTTTTTATTTCGCTGAAGTATACTAATAGTAGCAGGGTCGAGGCGCCTGACGATGTAGATGTGGACGGACTGAGGAATGTGAATGTCCCTCCAGGCTTAAATGTCGAGATTCTCGACTTCGATTAAAATTAAATTGTCTAGTAAATAGTAGGGGGGACAAAGAAGATGAAAGTACGGCAGTGTACTTTAGTATTCAAAGAATCAAATCTGTACAGATAGGTAGCAGAGAACTCCAGTAGATTCTTCTGGTGTCAGCTTCACTCTGGCTTTTCAGCTTAGCGCCGGTGATCGGCCCGATCGAATGGCAACAATTTCCCCCGCCATTTCTAACAGACCCTTCATATTCCTCCCTATCTATTTGCATCAACCCACCCCAGAAGACCTTTTCCTCATTTCGAGAGATGCCTACCGCCTCATCGCCGGCATCGGGGCGCGCGCCCCCGATATCCAAGCGACGTAAAACCCGCAAGGGCACCTTCTCGTGCTGGGAGTGCAAGCATCGGAAGCGACGCTGCGAGTTCGAGCCCCTTAAGGGCTCCACTTGTCTTTATTGCCAGTCGCGGGGCATTCCCTGCATCAGCCAGGAACATGCCGATCCACGAAGCCGCAGTAGCCACGGCGAACTATCGGAGCGGATTTGCCACGTTGAATCCTTGGTCGACCAGTTGATTCGGCAGCGTGACAGCTGTCAGCCTCAGGTCCAGCCACCGGATCAGGGTCGCGACCGAGCGAGTTCTCCCCGGCCGAAAGAAGCCTTGATATCATCGCCCTTTCAGCAGCTATGCAAATCCCTCGCGGCTTTACTACCTCATCCGAATACGGCCGCGCTCATTTTGACCAAGGGTCGATTCTTCAGTCTTCCTTTTCAGACTTACCGGCCCCTAGTCCGAGATCAATCGGTTGTCTTCTCTGGTCCAGAACAGTCTGGAGATGTTTCCAGGCTACCATTTCCTACGTCTCATCCAATCCAATATGCTCAGAAACTCATAGGGCTCGCCCTCGGCTTACAGCAGCTGGATCTCACGTCATTTTCAAGCCCACAACTGCAGCTGCAGCTGCAGCTAAATCAATCAACTGGCCACTCTTCTCGACGTTATCTCGATCTGGCAGCTCGCCACGTAACGTCGCAAGACACACTCGTAGATTCCCTTGATGGTCTCGATACTCTGTTACTGGAAGCCCGTTACTACATCAATACCGGGGAGCTGCGTTCGGCTTCGCTGATCTTTCGCCGTGCTCTGAGCATTGCCCAACTGATCGGACTTCCCACGAAAAGGGATAAAGCAGAGAGCCGCGCGGAATCGCTTTGGGTTCAACTCGTATATAATGATAGATTTCTGTCGCTAATGCTTGGTCTCTCATGTGAGGTGAAAGACATTGAGCTCCTGGATAGGGAGACGTTGAATAAGTACTCACCTCTTAGAAAGCTATATCGCATTCATGCTGTCATTGCAGGTCGGATAATCGTCCGGAATGTGCATATGCAGCATTGCGATTGGCTATCTCAGAGTACATACGATCATTACGCAGTGACACGCGGCATAGATGAGGAACTAAGAAAGAATACCCGATCGGTGCCTATAGATTGCTGGAAAGTTCCCACACTAGAAAATACGTTGTCGGATACCGACAAGATGGACAGAATCTCTATGCTCATCACCCAAATGCACCAATACTACCTCGTGATCCTCCTTCACCAACCGTACTTACTCCTGCAGCTCAGGAATCATACAGAATTCAGCCGGTCAGCAATATCATGTATTCTACCAGAATATTCATACAGCATACAAGTGGTCGTCCCTGCAAGCCGTGAAGTACTGAGTCGCTGTCTCGAATTCAGGAATATACGACCCATCCTTTCCTATCGTGGGCTTGAGCATAAAGCTTTCATCTCTGCAGTGACACTGCTCTTATCTCATATCTTGGGACACCGATCGGGATCTGAGAACGTCTTGGAACATCAACGCCCTCAAGACCTGGCCATGATACAACAGGCTATTGACACCTTAACCGAAGTCTGCACATTGGATGGCCCAAATAGAGAGTCTGCAATCAAGACAAGAAGTCTGTTAAGCAGACTCCTAAATATTGAGGCGGAGGCAGCCGATGGCATCAATTACATTGCGTGCATTGAACGGGACAATGTTGGCCCAGATGATTTTCTATGTCATACCTCCCACCAAGGCCTAAGGTTTCCCATTCCATACTTTGGAGTCATCTGCATAATGTCTGAGCCAGTCCCAGATCTGCAATTAGATGGCCTACTTTTGAGATCCGCACTGGAAACAGGACCGGGCACTGCGCAACTTGGGCCATGCCTTGACTCACAAGGGCTCCCTTCGACCGTTCCAGAATTGGACATTGGTCGTGGCCTACATTCCCAACTTTCTTTGTTTTCCGATGTTCAATTAGAGCTGCAGTCGCTTTTTGACTGGACAGGTGACCCGAACACGCTCTACGAAGGCTAAGCCACATAGCTACATTTGACATTCATCATGGACATGAGGTGGATATCGAACAACTGTATATACACTGTCTCCTAGCACAGCATGACAAGCTATCTATTCAGTATCTTCCACCAACACACAGCAAGAAACCCCCTTTCACAGTGGTGGGGTATCGGCAAAGTCAAAGCCAGTCAAGGCCTGAAATCGCACACCCACAACACTTTGTGCGATCCGCCGGATTGTCTGTTCTTCTTCCTCTGATAACTGGAAAGACAGACTGGCCAAGTTCTCCTCTAATCGATGAATTTTGCTCGTTCCCGGAATGGCAAAGATGTCGTCACCCTGGGTGAACAGCCACGCCAGCGCCAGCTGTGCCGTGGTCATACCCTTTCCTTTCGCGATCTCAGCCAGCTGGTCCACCACAGCAACGTTCTTCTCGATATTCCCCTTCCTGAGCCAAGGAAGCACACCTCGGACATCTCCGGGCTTACTGACGTCCTCCCGCGACCGAATTGCCCCGCTAAGGAATCCGTTGCCGAGCGGACTATACGCCACGATAGCCACACCGAGCTCGCGCGCAGTAAGCAGTAACTGCACCTTCGGCGACTCGATTTCAGTGCAGAAGACGCTATACTCTACCTGTACACACGAGATGGGGTGCACAGCATGGGCCCGACGGAGCGAGTCGGCACTGCACTCGCTCAAGCCAATGTATTTGATCTTTCCCTCTTGCTTGAGCGCAACCATGGCTTCGATAGTCTTCTCAATAGGGGTGACTTTGTCCAGGCGATGGACATAGTACAGGTCCACATATGGCAGTCCGAGGCGCTTCAATGACTTCTCAATCGCAGTCCGACAGTACTCGGGACTGGAATCCATCCAATTCTTCATGCCGTCTTTAGCATTGGGATTGGTGCAGATGCCGAACTTGGTGGCCAGAAAAACATCCTTCCGCTTGTCAGGGTTCTGAGCAAACCATTTGCCCAGGACGATTTCGGAATCGTCATATTTATCCGCTATGGTTGTCAGAGCTTGCGTGCTTTAGAATCTTTGAACGGGTACGTACCGGTATCCCAAAGCGTCTCACCCCTCTGATATGCCTCGTCCAGGAACTTTAGATGCTCAGCTTCTGCGAGAGGTTGGCCATAAGTACCACTCGCACCCATGAGTCCGAGGCCGATTCGCGGAATGAGCGGGCCGTTTTTGCCCAGAGAACGAGCAGGAAGTTTGCTGAAAGCGGCCATTTTGCTGGAATGGGTATATATAGCGAGTTGTCATTTACTAAGGATGACATGCTTAACAACAGGCCAATTCGGCTTTTTTATGCCTTTGCGATGCCGGACTTTGCGGCGGAATTGACTGCATCGCGCAGGGACGAACTACAGCCTTGGTGCCTGAGGCCTCAATGCTCAACGGTTCCGCCGCTTAATTCCGCCGCTAACTCCGCCGTCGCCGATCGCCATCGCCGATCGCCATCAACGCAATGCCTTGTTTATTGCAGCTCACAGCTGGACAGTCGGCCAGATGGCCAGTACTGCCTTCGTATAGCCGCAAGATCTTTGAAGGTGTGAACATATGTCATTATGAAAAAGGGCATAAGGTCTGCCTTCAGGCGTCGTCTTTTCCGAGCAGCTCTCATCTTAGTCCTGACTTTCTCGAGACCCAGACATCTACGAAGTACGACCGATACGAGACGAGGAGAGCAGGACGGCCGTTGTATAACATTATCCTGGTCTAGGTCTCTCTCCTTATGTTGTACCTAGGGTACACTGCGCCTGAGACAACCGGGGGTTCCGGATACGGATGTGGTGAGGTCATCCCGGACTCAGAGTTTCAGTGCAACCACCGTCCCTCATATAAGTCGACGGCCACGTCGCCCTCGTTTTGGGGCAGGATGGGCCGTCCCAATAATAGCAACATTCAATCAAACTTCGTTTTTGATAGTGTCAATTTTTAAGACGCAGTCAAAATGGTCCACCTGTCGACCGTCCGTAAGGAATCCCACGCCCATCAGCGTCAGCGCGAAGAACGCGATGCGCAGGCAGCCGCGGTGTCACCTTACGTGTACGGGACGCGCTATGCGGTCGAAGAGCTGCCCGAGCATAGCATGTCGGAGCATGAAATGCCAGCCCCGGTGGCATATCGCATGATCAAGGATGAGTTGAGCTTGGATGGGAATCCCCTGCTCAAGTAATACTTCGCTTCTCTTTGAACCCTTCGAACAATCGATAGTAACATGTCCCAGTTTAGCCAGCTTTGTCACCACCTATATGGTAAGACGATTATTGAGAAGCAAGTACAATGCTCTCGCTAACTCTATCCCAGGAAGATGAGGTGCAACAGCTCATGTCTGACGCCATGAGCAAGAACTTCATCGACTACGAACAGTATCCACAGACTGCACATATCCAGAACCGCTGTGTCAATATGATCGCCGGCCTGTTCCATGCACCTAGCCTCAATGACCCAAGCAACGAGCAAGACGCAATCGGCACCTCGACGGTCGGATCATCAGAAGCGATCATGCTGGCCATGCTGGCCATGAAGAAGCGCTGGCAGAACAAGCGGAAGGAAGCTGGGAAGGACTGGTCGCGCCCGAACATAATCATGAACAGTGCGGTACAAGTGTGCTGGGAGAAAGCCGCGCGGTATTTCGAGGTCGAGGAGAGATATGTCTAT